ACGGACCCCTGCTCTGTGCCCGATACTGCCACTGGTGTTCTCGTGTGTGTGTTTCTCTTGTGTTCATTTCATCCTCGGATGCATTCTGCATACTGACACTGAATCAGACCCTCTGACGGCATGGTTTGTCCTTGCTTCCTCCGTAACCGTAAGCTGAAGGAGGGGAGCGGCCTTGATCATCACTGTATTCCCAGTGCCTAGCGTGTAAGTGCTCAATGAATACTTGAGACTGAGTATTACAGACTGAGTTAATTAGGTAAGATCCCTTTCGCTGCATGGACGGTAAGCTGTGGCTCAGAGAGGGGCAGCAATCTGCCTGAGGTCATGCAACTATTAAGTACCTGATCTACGAGTCTTTCTAACCTTACGGCTCATTCATTCTTCTTTACCTGCCAGCCTGCTAGATGTGCCTGATAAAGGTCACAGTTTTGATGGCTAGATGCCTGGTAAAAATGGTTTTCCTCGTATTCTTGATTTTATCTTCAGTCTCTTATATTGTTGCAAAATGGCATTGTCGGCGCAAGTGAACTGTGCCCTCTGTGTTTAAAAAAGAGGACTATTTAGTCCTGGCTGGTGTGGTTCAGTGGATTGAGTGCTAGCCTGCGAACCTAAAGGTCACCGGTTCAATTCCTGGTCAGGACACATTCCTAGGTTGCTGGCTGGGTCCCCAGTTGTGGGCTTGGGAGAAGCAACTGATCAATGTTTCTCTCCCTCTCTTTCTCCCTCCTGTCCCCCCTCTAAAATTAAATAAATAAAATCTTTAGCAAAAATTATATCCACAACTGTCTAAATTATTGATGAATCCTTATTAATAGATTCTAAACAGCAAGAAATAGGATAAAATGTGAAAATCCCTGACTTTTGCTTGTTCTTTTATGCCAGGAGAGGCTCACGGTCTGAATCTCACACGGTAGCATGAGCGGCATGTAAAGAAAACCAGGAACAGTACCCAGTCCTAGGCGCTGTTCCTTCCGTGTTTTGGTCAAATGCCCCTCGATCCTTACGATTCCTCACGTTTCATTCTGCCCTGAAATAACGTTTATCCTTTTCAAAGTCACCGGCCGTAAATCAGCCATAATGGAAGCTCTTCTTCCTGCTGTTACTGCAAGGGCATGCGCTCTGACCTCCGTATCCGAAGTGTCTACCTGGCTTTTTCATAGCTGACTCAGTGCATTGGAACCTTTGAATGCAGCCCGCGTGGCATGTGGTCACCAGGTCTGTGCGAAGTCTCCCTCACTTCTGTGTGATTGATAGCACATTGCTCTCCCCTGGTGAGAGGAACCGTGTCTGTTTGCTTCCCCTTGCAGATGTTCAGTCACTTAGTCCACTTACCTTCCTGAGGAGGACCTCCACGGCCGAGATGTGAAGGGAAGGAGGAAACACCCAGGCTCAACAAGCCTGCTTGGCTCTCAAGCCTAGAGGTTTTCCACCACACACGACCGCTCAGGGCTATGAAACCAAAGCTCCCCTTTCTGCAGGGTAACCCAGGTAGTGGGGAGAGCAAACAGTTAATTAATTAATAATTCAATCAGATGCCATAGCCTTAGGAGGAGAGGAAAGCTCCTTCTTAAAAGCCCATAGCTCCGTGGGTTCCCCAAACTGCTGTCCGGGCCCATCTTCTGGAAGCTCATCCAGCCCCTTGTGATCCTGCTGCCATCAGGATCCTCTGATTTATTTTTTTAAAGATTTTGCTTATTTATTTAGAGAGAGAGGGGGAAGGGGAGGGAGGAAGAGAGGGAGGGAGACACCAGTGTGTGAGAGACACATCGATACCTCTTGCATGGAGCTGGCCAGCAAACTCAGGCGTGTGCCGTGACCCGAAATCGAGCCGGCGACCTTGCGGTTCACAGGCCGGCACTCAGCCCACTGAGCCCCGCCAGCCAGGGCATCACCCTCTATTTTAAATGCACATGTTTGTGTTTCAAAACTGGCCCCCAACCTACCTCTTTTTATTTACTATGTCAATTCTTTCTAAAACAGTGTGTGTGAAAGGGTTTCTACACTGTGGTGTTACATCAACTGTAGGTTTTATTACTAAACACAACTCAAGACCTTTCAAAAACTTTCTCAGACTCGCTTTGCCTGCCCATTCTTTAATCAGTTCAGCTAATATTTCACCTCTCCTCTATGGCGGGCGCACGTGTCTGCACGCCTCAGAGGTGGATGAAGCGAGGAAGAAACCATCGCCTTAGGAATTGGATGACCCAGTGCTCCCTGGTCCTGCCGGCCCAGTGTGCCTCTCTCCTGTATCTGCCCCAGTTGCCATTTTTTGAGTCCATGGTGTTTTTAACTATTTCTCTGGCTGTTTCTGTCACTAATCATAGACTCCCCGGGGTGATGTTCATGTATTACCATGGGCCAAAAATATCTGGGCAGTGTCACGGTGTGAATCCAACCCATGAACTTTGGAGAATCTGCTTATCTCTGGCCTTTATTTGTCTCATTTGAAAAAGGCAAATAACACCACGTATATACAAAGTGGTTTCCGGAAGTCCATGAAATGATCGTTTTAATGTACAAGGGAGAATGAATAAGTGGTTGTTCTGTCGTGTCACCTGCTTGCAAAAAAACAAGAAACAGAAACCTCACGAGCACTTCTGTTGCCTTTCGGAGTACATGTGAGTGTGTCAGCCCAATATTAGATGTGCTCAAGGAGGACCCAAACCTTCCTTGTCGGCCTTCTCTTAGGACCGCCCTCCACGGTCTCTCGCTCAAACCAGAAGTCCCGCTCCCCGAACGCAGCCTCCTCTGGCGCCAGGACGACATCTTTTGAGTCCCCCTTGTGGTTTTGGACCTTGCTTGATGCTTGCATATATTTTTCCTTAAGACTTAATTTTGAGCTCTGGCTGGTGTGGCTCCGTGGATGGAGCATTAGCCCACGAATGGAAGAGTCTCTGGTTCGGTTCCCGGTCAGGGCGCATGCCTGGGCTGCAGGCCGGGTCCCCAGCTGCGGGGCATGGATGAGGCAACCAGTGTTTCACACATTGATGCTTCCCTCCTCTCTCTCTCCCTCTCTCCTCCCTCGCTGAGAATAGGAGATGTTTTGCTCAACATCTACTCAGTTTGAGTGTTTAAGAGTGTAGGTCTCTCCTCCTTGTCTACCTTCCTGTCGCAGCTCCACACCAGACAAGTCACCGAAGCTCTCGCTGTCCTCCGCTATACGTGGAGATAACAGTAGTGACTATTATGATGCTGTTGTGAGGATTAAAAATAATCATCCATGTAACTAATAGTAGTTTTTGCCCGTTTAGTATGATGCTGGTTGTGGGTTTGTCAATATGGCCTTTATTACATGGAGGTATGTTTCCTCTATTCCCACTTTGCTGAGAGTTTTTATCATAAATAAATAGGTGCTGGATTTTATCAAATGCTTTTTCTGCATCTATTGGTATGATCATATGGTTTTTACCCCTTGTTTTGTTTATGTGGTGTATTACATTTATTGATTTATGGATATTGTACCAACCTTGCATCCCCAGATTAAATCCCGCTTGATCATGGCATGCGATCTTTTTAATGTATTACTGGATCTGGTTTGCTAATATTTTGTTGAGGGATTTTAGTGTCTGTGTTCATTGGAGATACAGGCCCGTAATTTTCTTTCTTTAATAGTGTCTGTCTGGTTTTGGAATTAGGATAATGCTGGCCTTGCAAACATTGGACTTAAATGTTAGACTCAAAACCATAAAAATACTAGAAGAAAACATAGGTAGTAGAATCGCAGACATTGCTTGTAGCAATTTTTTTCTGATATATCTCCTCGGGTAAGGGAAACAAAAGAAAAATAAACGAATGGAATTACATCAAACTAAAAAGCCTTTGCACAGCAAAGGAAAAATATCAACAAAATGAAAAGACAGCCCACCAGTATGAATGGGAGAACATACTCACCAATACATTTGATAAGAGGTTAATAGCCAAGGCTTATAAAGAACTTGTAAAACTCAACACGAAGAAAACAGACAGTCCGATTTAAAAATGAGCAAAGGACCTGAATAGGCACTTCTCCAAAGAGGACGTACAGAGGGCCCGTAGGCCTACGAAAGGGTGCCCAACGTCACTAATCATCAGAGAAATGCAAATTAAAATCATGAGGAGATCCCACCTCATACATAGCAGAAAGGCCATCATCAGTAAATCAACAGATTAGTCTCGGCTGGATGTAAAGAAAAGGAAACCCTCACGCACTGTTGGTGGGGATGCAGGTTGATGCAGCCACTGTGGGGAGCAGTATGCGATTACCTCAAAAAATTAAAAATGGAACTGCCTTATCGCCCAACAATTCCATTTCTGGGAATCTATCCAAAGAAACCCAAAACACTAAATCAAAAGAATACATGCACTCCTGCGTTCATTGCAGTGTTATTTACCGTAACCAAGACTCGGAAGCAGTCCGAGTGTCCGTCAGTAGATGAGTGGATAAAAAAGAAAAGCTGTGGTGTGTTATTCACGTAGTGGAATACTACTCAGCTGTAAAAAGGAAGGAAGGCTCACCCTCTGTGACAGCCGGGATGGCCCTGGCGAGCACTGTGCTAAGAGAAACAAGCCAGTCACAGAAAGACAAGTACCATGTGATTTCACTCACATGTGGAATCCGATGAACAAAATTAACTAATGAGCACATTGTGAGGGACTCAGACAGAGAGCAGGCTGGCAGCTGTCAGGGGGTGGGGTTGGAGCAAAAAAGAAAAAACTCATGGGCACGGACAACGATGTGGTGATTGACAGCATGGGGAGGGTACGGGGGGGCGGGGGTGATGGACAGAGACTCGACCCAGGGTGGGGAGCACACATACAGTGTACAGATGATGCGTTCATTTAGAGCCGTGCCCCTGAAACCTATGATTTTGTTAACCAGTATCACCCACATACACTCAATAAAAAGAGGGGGGGGAGTACTTTGAAACCAGAAAGTTATTTTTCAGCAGAGGCATTGTAACGAGCCAGGTGACGCAAACACGTCAGCGGCGCAAATGAGCTCTCGCTTCTTGTTCCTGCAGACACGGTGGTCTCCTCCAGCTGCTGCACCAGCTTGGACTACATCGTCACCTACCTCTTCAGGCACATAGCCAAAGAAGGCAAGAAGCCACTCCGCTGCCGAGAGGCCGCCCAGGCCGGCCAGAGGCTGCTCCACTTCATGCAGCAGAATCCAGACGTCCTGCAGCAGGTAACTGACTGGTGGTCGCTCGCCTGGCTTAAGAAACAGAGTTTCCCAAACGCCAGCCCGGCGCCTGAGTGTCTTCGACAGCGGCTGGTCTCCCGGGGATTCTCCAGCAGTTATTCCCCGGGAGGGTCTCCCCCGAAGGTGGGAAGCGCGCTGGCCTTAGGGTTACCAGCCTCGGGGCTCTCGGAGCCCTCGGTCTGCCCGCAGTGAACTAGAGTTCAGAAAGGGGCCGGCTCTTCCGGAGGCCTGGGAGGGGAAAAGGCGAAGCCGGAGCTAGAAACGGTCCACTTCTGAGTTCTTCCCTGGAGCCTGTAATAATGTCGTCTTGCATTGGCCTGGGGAGCACTCTGAGATGTGGGGAACTCACATCTGTCCCAGGGAAAACCTACCAGGAGCTTTCCATTTATCATAGCATGATAAATGGTTCTCCCAGTTTAAGATGAGAAATCAAGGTCCAGCGAGGTCATATTCCCAGGAGCATTTAATAATAAGTAATAAAGCCACAATTTCTTTATTGTCAAATGTGTTTTCTCAGTGGCTAATATGAGTTAGGTCCCAGTTTAATATTGTTTTTATTTTCTCTTTTTTTATGATCTCTTATGGATTATGCTATTTCAGTTGTCCCAATTTCCCCCCCCTTTTGTCCCCCTCCACCCAGCACCCCCTGCTACCTCAGGCATTCACCCCACCATTGTTCATGTCTGTGGGTCATGCGTATAAGTTCTTTGGCTACTCTATTTCCTGTATTTTACTTTACATCCCCATGGCTGTTCTGGAACGACCTATTTGTACTTCTTAATTCCCTCACCTCTTCACCCACTCCCCCACACCCTCCTCCCATCTGGCAACCATCAAAACACTCTCCATATCCATGATTCTGTCTCTGTTCTTAAAGAGCTCACTTCAGCCCTGGCTGGCGTAGCTCAGTGGATTGAGCGCAGGCTGCGAACCAAAGTGTCGCAGGTTCGATTCCCATTCAGGGCACATGCCTGGGTTGCAGGCCATGACCTCCAGCAACCACACATTGATGTCTCTCTCTCTCTCTCTCTCTCTCTCTCTATATATATATATATATATATATATATATATATACACACACACACACACACACACACACATACATATATATATATCCCTCCCTTCCCTCTCTAAAAGTAAATAAATCTTTAAAAAAAAGAGCTCACTTCAACAAATCACCATAACAGTATGCATTTAAAAAATACACATGCTGTTATTTCAAAAGAAGAATACCATTTCTCTATGGAAATACCATCACTCTGATCTTTTCCAGTTTCACTGGGTTTGGAAAATGATATCTTTGTTGTGCTTCCAGTTCTGTTTTGCGATATTATCTCCGTTGTGGTCTGGTTTGCAAATGTAAACGCTTTGCCATGGCCATCAACCAGCAAATAAGTGTTTTACAATCAGCAGACAAGGTCACTCTGGGTGAAACAGAAAGAGACAGCAGCCATGGAAGGGGCATTCTTCCTGGCTGTCATTTTTGGCTAATGTTTCAATGAAATTACGAGAACTTTATTTGTGGCAATGTCTCAGTTAACCAATTATTTTCCTGGTGGGGACGGGGGTAGTTAAGGTCTTGTGTAACTAGGCAAAGTGCTGTCAGCTTGTTAACTATTTGGTATGACCCCAGAATTGTTACGTATTGGTGACACAGTGAACAGAAGAAGAAGGTAACTCACATTTATTGAGAACTTTCTACATACAAGGTACAAGGGCAGTTAAGACTCATAAGACATCATTCCTGTCCTTAAAAAGTCTCCTGTCGGGTGGGACAGAGAAATAAGTAACTAACCAGTTATATGATGACGTGATTAATATAGTGATGACAGGGTGACATGGGAGAAGAGGACTTTTAGAGAAGTCATCTCTTTTCGACACCCCCCAACAACCCTGAAATGTGGGTATCATCATCCCCATTTGACAGATGAGTAAACTGAGGTTCAGAGAGATCAACTGGAAAGTCAGATGTGAAGGAAGGTCTGTTTGACTCAAGAGCCCAAGTCCTCACCACCTATGCCAGTGGCTCTCAAGGGTCTCGTTGGGGTTAAGACCTCAGATTCACCTGGACTGCCTTTCCTGTCGAGAGCTGGGCGTGCTTCTCCTCCCCACTGCCCTGCCCACCCACTGCAGTCGCCGCGGGCACTGTCCGCAGTGTGCCATGGCCCTAGGTGTTTTGCAAAGGAGAAGGTTGAGGACCACAGACTTGGAGAACGGAGCCCCTGGAGAAGGTAAACACCCATGGATTGGCCAGGGACCGGCCCCAGCCCCCACCCCTCCATGGCAGGCAACAAGGTCACCACCAAACGCCCCCTGCTGGCACTCAGCCGTGGTCTCAACATTGCCCTACAGGCTTTGGCAGGAATTTTGCCGTGAGTGGAAAATTTTAGCAAAAATCAATAGGCCGTGGTCCCAGACAAGTACCGTCAGGCAGTGCGGAGCAAGTCACGTGGCCCTGCAGGGGGCGGTCAAGTTTGTCTGCACTCAGAAGGACCATGCGTTTGTTGCTTTAAGTAATTTCTGTGTGTTAATAACACTTGGTAACCCTTTACTTTGTAGTGTACGACTAAGTAGTGATACATCTTTATTAACAGTGGAATACATTCTATTTATTTGGAATGGAGGCTTTCAGATAGCATTTTAAATATTAATGGCTGGTATCTGGTAGTCAGCATAAACATGATTTGCATTAGCACGAGGTTCTATCATCCTGAGTGCCTCTGATGTCAGCTGTCGGCCCGTAATATCTGACATCATCTCCTCAGGTCACCGACAACTTTGACCTCTATTCTCATGCACAGTTTCTGTCGTCTCAAAAGCTCTTTTGAATTGATTTGAAATTTTGACTCTTCCCTTTATGAGGCAGTAAAATTGATAATTATTCAGATGGGAACTGAGCGCTGAGTGAAAAATCAATTCCACCCGCTCTCTGCTGCGTATAAAATTACTTCTGAGCCGGCTGGACTGAACGGATGGCCGGAGTAAAAGCAGCAGGCAGGAGCGGTGGGAAGGATTAGCCGGACAGAGCTAATAGCCTGAAGGGATGGACTTGGAAAAGAGGGAGTGGGCCAGTTGGGGGTTATTATGAGCGAGGATGGGTCCCATTGATCATCTGTTTACATCGGCTTCCCAGACCTTATAAATCAGCCCTGAAGAGCGGCAGAGCCCAGGACTCGGCCCCTTACCAGGGGGACTTTGTATTAGATTATTCTCATTTTCACACTCAGATGAAAAGTGAGCCATTGATTATTCATTGGTTGCCCATTAAATGCTGATTTTATAGGTGATTTGCCTATCACAGAAAGTAATGAACAAGGTTGCTGCTTCATAACTGGAGGTTTCAGTTTTCAAGACATCTGTGTCCGTTAAGTAATGCCTAACCCTATTAAAAGGAATGGGTTACAAATTGCTTAACAGTGCTGAAAAACTAGACCCTAATGACTAATTGTGCTTGGAGTTTAGAGAGAGTTTGTCAGCTCTTTAAAACTAAACTGATACGACGAGACTGCAATTATTTACTAGTTTGAATTGTTTTCCCCCCCAACCTGGGTCTCCATTGCTGGGAGCATAGTTGCGAGAGGAGGGTCGACTCCAAATTGCAAAAGTGATCTCCCGAAGTGTCCGGAGCAGAAGAAGCAGGAGCCCGCACAGAGGGTTTTCCGGCGGCCCCGCAGGCCCTCCTGTGTGCGCGGCGGCTGGGGAGAGACATCCGAGGTGCCACTCACCTCAGCTGTGCTGACCCGGACCTGCCGCGGGGCTGTAGCTCTTCAGTGCTGTTCCCAGCGCTCTCCAAAGAAGTTACCTGCCACGTTTTGCAAACAGATCTAACTTTGCAAGCATTAAATTTGGTCCGTTTGAAGACGCATGATGATTAAGTGGCTCCGTTTCAAGTAAGAATTGTTTTCTAGCCAGCACTGTTTTGACTTTGCAGTTGAGAAACACCCAGTTTACACATATTATTAAGAAAAAAATTCCCCGTATGTTTATATGTCATTAGAAAGATAAACCGAAATTTTAAGAGCAGGACAATAGTCACAGCGAGGAGGCCCTGACCGGCCGCCGTAATTTGGAAGATGCAACTTCTAGGTGATGTTTGTTTGTTTGTTTGTTTGTTTGTTTGTTTGTTTGTTTTCAGCTTTACCGCTGGTCACCTTAAGTGTCTGCATCCATAACCCACAGACCAGCATTCATTTAGTCATCTCACGGGGTGAAAGATTTGCCCAGGTTAGGTAGATGAAGGAGTGAGTTCCGTGGAGTTACAGGGCCATGTCAGAGATGTGACTGACCCTTTTTCAGACTATAAGAACAGGGTACTGACTCTGAATGCTTCCCTAAGCCAGAACGCCAGCTAAAACTCACTGCCCTAGCGCGAGTAGCAGCTTCTGCTGAAGCACAACAAAAAGTGTGTGAGCGGCAGTGTTCCTGATTAGATTAGATTATGTGATTGACTTATGAACAAGGTACTTTCAGCAATTATATTCTCTAAGATCTAAATATATTTGTATGTTGAATGGAGGAATGAGAACATTTAGGTTTCAGTTTATCTTACCCTCATCTGTTTAACTGTTTGGATCAAGTATCAGACATCCCAACACCCTCCCCCCACCCGACTTCTTGCGCTAACCTGGCATTTAACTACAGATTGTGAAGAGCTGTCAGGAGCTATGAGAGTCATGCTCCGGCAGGGACGTAAGCTGAAAGAACACTCGCCCTTTTCCTCAATCAGTCAGTCAATCAATGAAAATTGCTTTTGTACAGCGCTCTGCATGACATACATCCCAAAGTGAATTACAGCGAGAGGGAGATCATCTGCTCTCCTTTCACTCCTGTGTTTAGACTGAGATGGTATTGCTCAACATTTTGACATACCGCACGAGACATCTCTCATACTTAAGATTCCATCCCATAACCGAGAGCCAGGAGAGCGCAGGCGTGCCTTCCACTGGCGGGGAGGCCCCCTCCCGCCGCGGGGAACACTCAGGCCA